TTTTGTTAGGTATTCCACCTGCTGTAAACGCACATGTTGCTTTAATTACGTTACTTATTGGAACTGTGAATTGTGATAGAATCATTGTGCACATTACTATAAGTTGTATTGCTGCAGTAACTGAGGTATGTGTAATATGGTGTGAGATTTAATGCAATGAGGCCAGTACTATACTCACACCCACCAGACATTACTGTGAGTTTTATTACTGTGGAGTACTGATATTTTCATCTACTATACACATTACTGTAAGTCTTATTGCTGTGGAACTCTGTTAAAAAATTCATACACACTACACATTACTGTGAGTTTTAGTACTCTGGAGATCTGTGATACTCCTACACTGCACAGTACTGTGAGTTTTAGTGCAGTGGAGCTCTGTGATACTCATACACACTGCACATTATTCTGAGTTTTAGTGCTGAGGTGCAGGGTTACACCTAAGGGTTGACGAAGGGTTTATATGGTAAAGAACTTATATAAGATTTATACTATGTGGAACGGCACCTACAAAATGGGGAGGGCAAGCCAATACAGCTCCTCGCCAAGTGCGCTGCAGACCCTAGGTATGCATATGATCCTGAGTGCATGGACCAATTTTTTTGTATCAAATGATTGGCATATGCCACATTGGTCCATATATTCTTTCCACAGCAAATTAATTCCTTGCCAGTTAACACTTCCCCTGGCTCTCCAGAGACATCTTTACACCACAATATGAAGAGTGTATCCGAGACATAACATCAGCTTGGAGATCTGATGGAACAACTACTCGTATACCTTGGAATAAAACACCATCCAATATACTCAGTTCATTACGTACGTGGTAATATGGTAAAGCTTCTAGGGGTTCCTGCTCCTTTGCAATTTCTAGTTAAGTCTTGTCTTTATCCATGCTTTGTTGTATAGTGATAAGCCTCCTGTTTGAGATGGTTAGGTATTGGAGCATGTGTAAAGTTTCAATATAGTAATATACAGAGCCCTCCTTGTAGATGATCTCTACTCAACATGTATCTGATACATTCATCATGAAGCCATAACACCATTCACTGAAGACGCATGGGTGCTTTAAATAAGGGTTTCTTTATAATTCTTTCTAGGGGCTTATGGTCCAATTGTCCAGCTACTGTCTGCCATTATATGAATTGGTGGAATTATTCCATTCCAAAAAGGATAGCTATTAGCTTCTTTTCTATCTGTGCATAACTTTGCTCTGTCTCTGTTCTTGCTATGCTTGCAGAATCTATTGGTTGTTTACCTTGTATCCCTGATCTCTTTCCCTGATGCATCAGATCTAGTTCTAGTTTTAATGGCTCATCTGGGTTATAAAACTTAAGTACGGGTGCACTGCTGATTTTTGTATTTAATCTGCTGAAATTCCTCTTCATGCACCTCGGTCCACTCTCAGACTGCATTCTTCTGGGTTAATAAAAAAACAAAAAACAAAGAAGAATTCAGTGCTTGTAAAATACTGATACGGATGTAAGGTAGCTTAGTCACCAGATCCAGAATCTCTCTTATTCGTTATAGAATGGAGAAAACAGGAGGGTTGGTGTAGTGCCTAGGATGTCCTAACTAATAGAGAACTAATAGTGTATTATGTCAAATTTATTGGATAAAAAGTTATTAAAAGTAGTTCACTCACCCTTTTTAGGAGCTACAGTTAAACTCCCACTTGAACACTTGGGCGGAATGATCCCACCTAGGGATATAATGTGGTGCAGGATCTGTATGGTTCTTGTAGTGGGATATTTTCTTGTGGATATGTGGAAGAAAATAAAGACAGTAAAAGTGTGAGTGAACTACTTTTAATTACTTTTTATCCGATATATTTTACATAATAGTACAACAAGGAAAAGTGCTCTGTGTAAATTGGCGCTTAATACAGAATATAAATATATACACAGCAGCTCGATTTTACATAATACACGATTAGTTCTCTCCTTCTACATATATTCCAAGGACATCTTAGGTGCTACACACCAAACCTCCATGGACTGATACTGCACTAGTTCTGGAGCTCTCTTGGAACTTCAACCTTTCTTTAGACAGCTTAGCAGTTCTACCAATTTGCATACATTGTTTCAATGTGTCTCTCAGTAGACATTCCCTAATGCCACATACTATCCTGTACCTTACTAATGAGTATCTGATATTATAAAGTTGTAAGTGGCTTCCAGAGTACTCTTCCCTCTGATTCCGTGAAAAAAATATATCTTTCCACAGTCTCAGTTTGTTTTGGTTTACAATAATCCTTTAGTGCTTTCATTAGTTATTCTATTGAATGAGCAGCTACCCCTGAGAGAAGGTTGAATATCACATCTTTGCCTTTGTCCCCAAGTAAGTACAGGAACAGTTTTACAATCCTTCATCTCCTCTGGTTTGTCAGCTATGGTTAGGTCTGTGAATAGGATCATTTCTTCTTTCCATCTCTTCCATCTCTTCTCTTTCCATTCCATACCTGAAAATGAAGCAGGCCTTCTGTATCTTCATTTGGTGTAGTACTCAAATAATATCTGCTGCCACCAGCTGGCAGACCAGGTCCAAGCGCTGAAGCAGCAACTTACCTCCATGGAAAATAAAATGATGGATGCTGAAGCTTAAAGACTAACAAGGGTCCCGGAATCGGTGGCGCCAGCAGTCTTACCAACGTATATCCATGGCCTGTTCAAGGTGCTTGCACCGGACGTACTTGTATTAAGCTGACCCGCATGCGTCGAGTCCCAAAACCTGCCTTCCTTGCAGCAACAGTCCCGAGAGACGTGCTCTTGTGGGCTCATTATTTCCACATCAATGAGCTGATCCTACAATAAAACCGCTCCATGACAGAACTAACGAAAGAATACGTTACGGTGAAGGTATTTTCAGATCTCTCAGCATCAACCATGAGAAGACGCCGTTCATTCCAACAAATCATCAGTGCTTAAAGCGAATGACATTCGGTACAGGTGGGGATACCCTACGAAGCTCCTGATTGTGCGAAGCGGAGGAATTACAGCCATACAGACCCCTGAGGACGGTATGACAACTCTGAAATCCTGAGGCCTGCAACTACCCACAGCGGCACCATGCACAGGCAGTAGAATCCCACTGGAGTGGTAAGGGACTGCCCGCTAACTAATGGGACACTGTTACAGAATATCAGGACTCTTGCTTCATAATAAAGCCGCAAGTATAGACCTTACGGGTTTCGCAAAGTTATTCAAATGTTTTATTTTATGTTCTATTGTATGGTTTACATAGCTCAATACTGCGCTACCAATCTCATATAGCTGTACCCTAGATAACTGGCTAGTTAACATAATATGCCATACGGACAACCCCTTGACATGGGTACTACAATAGTTAGGAGACCCAAAAGGACCAGGGAAATAAATATCCTATGCACACTAGAACTAACTGGCACCCTCCGTTGGCAAGGGAATAGGCACCCCACGGCCAGTCCTCTGACCAGAGTATGCAGCAGTAGAGGAAAGCTAGGGTGGAAATCCCCACACAACATTAAGGCCTTTGAAGTTGACTCCCCAACTTAAGACCGTGAACCAGAGGAATGCCCAAAATTACAGTTTCTATACAAGTTAATTATTTGGGCAGACAAAAAAACTAGAGTACAGTCACCACACAGAAGGCGGAATAAGCGTACCCAATGTGCGCTACGATTACCTGGCAGCAAATATTATTCCCATAGTCACGGCACAAACCTAAACTACACCCTTGCAGTGGGGCATCACTTCTCTTCCATAATGTGGCTCCCCAACCACATGAGACCCAAAGGATTAAAAATGCTGCCCACAACAGCATTAACAATGCAGATCTGGGACATACATAGAGCCAAATTCTGTCTGACCAGAAAACACTCCCAGGCAATGACAGTTACTACCCTAGATTCCGTGATCCCTAATTTAAATTTCAGACTTTAGGAAAGGCACCACATCATATACATTACACAAATAACCCAAGGAGGTAAAGTCATAGACTTTGCACAGTTGCAAAAAGACTATAACCTGCCGAGCATCGCAAAGTTTTCATACCTCCAATTACGGGCATGGTTACTTAAACTTTATATACCAGCAACGAAACTTGTACATGGGCAACAGCTGACGAGCTTCGAGAAACACTTAACAAACAAAATGCCAGCAAATAAAACTATTTCCATGCTCTATGCAGGCTTGAACAGAGGCCAACCAATTCATAAACTACTGTTCATCCAGGCATGGGAACGAGAGCTAAATCTCACACATCAACTTCGAAGAAACTGTTTAACACCCAAAAAAAGCTTACCCTGTGCTCAAACCAAATAGAATTGTCCAGACAAATTTTGTACAGATGGTACTAGTGCCGGCACGTCTACACCGCATGAATTCTGGAGTCTCTGACAGATGCTGGAGATGCCAGGAGGGAATAGGAGACATGCTCCACATTTGGTGGACATGCCCAAGGTTATCAACATACTGGAAAAATGTAGCACAGCTCATGCGCTCCATAACAGGACTGAGCATCCCCCATACACCAGAGTGCTTTCTGCTGCAAAACTATCCTCCAGGACTCCCTAAAGCCAAGGGCGGACTGAGAGCCTTTGGGGCCCCCGGGCAAAATTAGATCCCAGGCCCTTTGAAGGCCAAATATACGTGCATTAAATAAATGTTAAATATAACTCATAATACGGCATTCCTTTGGATGTGTATATTGTGAAGATCTGTGTATCAATGCATGTTTGTATTTGAGTCTGTGTGAATGCACTTGTGCATGTCTGGATGACTACATGTGTTTTTTTGTATATAGTGTCTGTGTGAATGCATGTGACAGGTGACAGAGTGTATGAGGGAGAAGGTGACAGGTGGAAGAGTGTGGGAGGGTGTGGCAGAGTGAGGGAAGGAGGGGTTGAGTGGTGGCAGAGTGAGGGGGAGAGTGGGGATGACTGGTGACAGAGTGAGGGAGTGGGTGACTAGTGACAGAGGGAGGGAGAGGGTGTGACTAGTGACAGAGTTAGGGAATGGGTGACTAGTGGCAGAGTGGGGGAGGGAGGGGAGAGATGACTAGTGGCAAAGTGAGGGAGGGAAGAGGTGACTAGTGACAGAGTGAGGGGATGACTGGTGACAGAGTGAGGGGATGACTAGTGGTGACAGAGGGAGGGAGTGACTAGTGACAGAGGGAGGTAGTGACTAGTGACAGAGTGAGGGAGGGGGTGACTGTCACTAGTCACCCTTATCCCTCTCTCTGTCACTAGTCACTCCCTTCTTAACTCTGTCACTCCCTCCCTAACTCTGTCACTGTGAAGGAAGGGGTAACTGGTGACAGAGTGAGGGGATGACTGGTGACAGAGTGAGGGAAGGGATGACTAGTGGCAGAGTGAGGGAAGGAAGGGATGACTGGTGACAGAGTGAAGGAATGACTGGTGACAGAGTGAGAGAGGGGGTGACTAGTGACAGAGTTAGGAAGGGGGTGACACAGTGACAGAGTGAGGGAGGGGGTGACTAGTGACAGAGTGAAGGAGGTGGTGACTGTCACTAGTCACCCCATCCCTCCCTCTGTCACTAATCACCACCTCCCTCACTCTGTCACTAGTCACCCCCTCCTTCTCTCTGTCACTAATCACCACCTCCCACACTCTGTCACTAGTCACCCCCTCCCTCTCTCTGTCACTAGTCACACCCTCCCTCACTCTGTCACTATTCACACCCTTCCTCACTCTGTCACTAGAGTGAGGGGGTGACTAGTGACAGAGTGAGGGGGTGACAGGTGACAGAGTGAGGAAAGGGGTGACTAGTGGCAGAGTGAGGGAAGGAAGGGGTTACTAGTGACAGAGTGAGGGGATGACTGGTGACAGAGTGAGTGAGGGAGGGAGTGGGTGACCAGTGACAGAGGGAGGGGGTGACACAGTGACAGAGTGAGGGAGGGGGTGACTAGTGACAGAGTGAGGGAGGTGGTGACTGTCACTAGTCACTAGTCACCACCTCCCTCACTCTGTCCCTAGTCACCCCTCCCTCAGTCACTAGTCACCCCCTTCCTCACTCTGTCACTAGTCACCCCTTCCCTCCCTAACTCTGTCACTAGTCACCCCCTCCCTCATTCTGTCACTAGAGTGAGGGGGTGACTAGTGGCAGAGTGAGGGAGGGGGTGACTAGTGACAGTAAGGAAGGGGATGACTAGTGACAGAGTGAGAGAGGGGGTGACTAGTGACAGAGTGAGGGAGGGAGTGGGTGACTAGTGACAGAGTGAGGAAGGAGGTGACACAATGACAGAGGGAGGGAGGGGGAGACTAGTGACAGAGTGAAGGAGGTGGTGACTGTCACTAGTCACCTCATCCCTCCCTCTGTCACTAATCACAACCTCCCTCACCCTGTCACTAGTCACCCCCTCTCTCTCTCTGTCACTAGTCGCCCCCTCCCTCTCTCTGTCACTAATCACACCCTCCCTCTCTCTGTCACTAGTCACACCGTCCCTCACTCTGTCACTAGAGTGAAGGGGTGACAGGTGACAGAGTGAGGGAAGGGGTGACTAGTGGCAGAGTGAGGGGAAGACTGGTGACAGAGTGAGGGAGGTGGTGACTAGTGACAGAGTGAGGGAGGTGGTGACTGTCACTAGTCCCCACCTCCCTCACTTTGTCCCTAGTCACTCCTCCCTCTGTCACTAGTCACCCCCTTCCTCACTGTCACTAGTCACCCCCTCCCTCTCTGTGTCACTAGTCACACCCTCCCTCACTCTGTCACTAGAGTGAGGGGGTGACTAGTGACAGAGTGAGGGGGTGACAGGTGACAGAGGGAAGGGGTGACTAGTGGCAGAGTGAGGGAAGGAAGGGGTGACTAGTGACAGAGTGAGGAAGGGGGTGACACAGTGACAGAGTGAGGGAGGGGGTGACACAGTGACAGAGTGAAGGAGGTGGTGACTGTCACTAGTCACACCATCCCTCCCTCTGGCACTAATCACCACCTCCCTCACTCTGTCCCTAGTCACCCCTTCCCTCCCTCACTGGGAGGGAGGGGGTTACTAGTGACAGAGTGAGGGAGGGGGTTACTAGTGACACAGTGGGGGGGTGACTAGTGACAGAGTGAGGGGGTTACTAGTGACACAGTGGGGAGGGGTGACTAGTGACACAGTGAGGAGGGGTGACTAGTGACACAGTGAGGGGGGTGACTAGTGACACAGTGGGGGG